TTGAAACATTATAGTACTTTAGTATTGCCTCCTCCCATATGAAATCTGCCCATCATTTCTATTAGCACAAAAACACAGAAAACAGCAGGTTTAGCAGAGTATTAAATAATCCAGGTAGTCCAGAATAACTCACGCACACACCAGCAGCTTCTCCACCACCAACGTGTATTTACAAGATATTCACAGCAGTTCAGTCTGGCAGCATAACAGGTAGCATTCACCACAAAGCAGGAAGATACATCAACTGTTCAGTTTCACATATATATACATATACAGATCTGCTTGTGTCCAATCAAATTATGTGTTGCATCATGCATGAGTCAGCACTGCTGAGTCATCATGACTCAGTTTCTACACACCTGTTCATCATGGCTGCTCATTAATATTCTTTATTCTGCTCAGACCCGTAAATTTGTCTTGACAATTTCATATGTGCTAGAGAGATCCTGTGGTATGCTGTTCTACCAGGAGAAGCTAGATAAGTAAAAACACAATGCAAGATGTTTTCTGTGGCAGCTCTCAAATGTGGAACTCCTTCCCAAGGCATATTACATTGGGTTCCTCTTTGTTTAGTTTTGAATTATTCATCCTGTTTGGCACTTCAGAGGGATTCAAGGATTTGCAATTTAAGGCAGACAATACAAATAATCACTTTGATTTCTTTCTTTTTTAAGGATGTTTTGCTGTTCCTTGCAATGTCTTTCTGGTGTTGTTTTAAAAGTTTTAAAATTGGGCCTTTTGGGGATTAAAAACTAACTCATAGTAATGTTATAAATTAAGTAAAAATTCACAGATACAGAAGATCTTAATGCCAAGCACTTGGCCATATTAGTATTCACTGAAAGAAAGAGATCTCATGTATAGTTCATTCTTTAAGACAAACAATACGCATGAATCCAGACATCTTTTGTAACTCAATGTCATTCTCCCAGATAGTTAGATAGCACTTGGAAGGTCGCAGCCTTGTCAAATCTTTAGGGATGTTTTGAACGAAGATTCGTTATTATGCTTCAGTGCTTAGACATATATCACTGACCATTCTGCTTATCTGACCTTGTTACAACCTGTGATTCCCTTGGCAAGCTGTGCACACTCTGAATGCCAATAACTAAACATCAACACCTTCTACAAAACATGTTTCCTTTCACCCCAGATTTTTCAGTTCTGGTTTCTTATTAGATGGATTGACTAGGCAGGCTTGGCCCAGGACATTTTGCTAAGGCACCATCCCCATCTTGACATGTCATGGTGAATAATAGCGAGCATTGGCCAAGTTCCTTTGACATTTGACCTTTCAAGCAGACCCCTCAAGTGCTTTATTCCTCCTCCCTGGCAATAAATGTGTAAGAATAATACTGTAAATTAAATAACCAATATGAGTTAAACTTTTACGGGAGACAAACATAGCTGCCTTAACTAACGACAGGGATGGTGTTGTGAGTAAGTGCTCTTTGAAGCAAATCAGCCAGCCTTCAACTAGAATTTTTAAAGGAATCAAAATTCCTGTACTTCTTTTTGAAACAGGTGGTATGGTTTCTGAGTAAAACTGCATAGAACTCCCTCACAGCTTGTTTTATTTTCTTAGTGGTCTAGAAAGAAGGACCCCCTAAGCACTCAGAATGTCCTAGCTCTTAGCTATGTTAGATAAGATAAACACAGTCACCTGGAACGAACCTGACCTCCCCACTTTTTCAAATGCCTTCTCCTTTATTATTCAGGAGATGCCAACTGTACTTTATGTGCCTGTTAAAGACCCATCTCATCATCCAGCCCTTCTCAGAGAAAGTGCATGGATCTTCCCAGACAAACATATTTTTCAAAATGACTTAATATTTCTGTTTTAAAGATGATGCATCTTATGTACGTTATGTAACATGAAAAGAGTAAAAAATATAATATAAGGCAAGTAATTTTAATTGAATACAGTTTGTGGAAAATCAGAACAGTGAACAAATGAGAAATAAGACATATCAACATGTTTTCTGCTTGATTACGAGCTTTTGTCCAGAATCTAATTAATGGCATAAATTGGAGAAGCAAATTGGCACTAATTAACAGCTAATTAACCATCAACCTTTTAATTAGCAGCAATTTGCTGTCACAATTTAAATATAAAGAAGTGTAAATAACCAGTTGGATTCTGGCCATTCTATAATGTTTGCAGAAGACTCATCATCATAGGCATCCTTCAGTCTCGAGAGACTATGGTAACACGCTCTGAATCGAGGAGTGTCCTCTCCAGAGCATGAAGCCTCGGTAAAGTAATATGGAGGATAGGCTGTTACCCAAGCACCAGATCCCCCCTCTCCATGTAGCTGAAATGGTCCAATGGAAAGGCAAGAGCCAATACAACTGGTTCCAGCAATGTCGCAGGAGTTGGCAGAATGACACAAACTACCTTCGGGACTCCAGCTCTGGATTTTGCCTCTAGGTTAACTCCTGAAGCCGTTTTCCATCAGTGGATATAGCCACAAGGCAGTGGAGGTTTGAAATTGGAGTTTTCCTTCTCCTAGATGGGCTGCCTTCCATGGCTGACGAACCCCACCTACCTGGCCTGCTTTTTAATAGTGCAGAAGTATGATCCGATCCTTAAAATATTCCTGCCTCCCAGGTGTATGCAAATCTAATTGGCTTTCCTTTTAACTGTATTAGGGCCAGAGATAGAATCAGAAAATTTGGGACACACTCATTTAAAGTAGAAAGCCCCACCCCCTAGGCCCCACCCCCAGGCCATGCGGTGGGGGGGCAAAAAGAAAGCCCAGAAAAAAAAACTCAGCAAAATGTCCATGCAGACATACCTGGCCTTCAGGCTCACCCAGCTTCCTAGGGGAAAGGGCCCAGGGTCCTGGGACACACTCATTTAAAGTAGAAAACCCCACCCCTAGGGGAAGCTATAAAATGGCCCTTCCCCTGAACATTCTTATCAGTGGAAAGCCCATGTCCTAGCTCCCCTAGGTTTTTCCTGCTTGTTATCAAATGGGAGTTCTCCACAGAAAGTAAATAAAAAAAACTTTGCACTGAGTGAGTGTTTAACTCAGTGTTATTTTCCTCTGTGAAGGACTGTCACTTTGTGGTTTACTAGACATTGTCCCAAAGTGCCATCTGAACTACTTTATAAGAATATTGTATGGCCCCAGGAAGACAGAAATGCTGTCAGTGTTATTTTTCTGACCCAAATATTATAATAATTGATGATTAAAATAATTAGCCAGATTTCAAACCAATAAAATGTATAAACACAATTGTAAATACAGTTCAAAAATTCCCTTGTGTAGCACAGTTACACTAATTCAATATACTGTATTTTTAATTCAGTATGGTATGGAATTCTACCAATTGATACATTGTACTATTAAGCACCATCCCTGAACTGAGAAAACAAAGTCTTATAATTAGGTAGTAATTTTAGAACTACAAAGGCAGGGGGAAGGAGAAGTGCAGAGAGGATGAGGCGACAGCAGCCACAGCCTTGCCAGATGACCCGCAAAGAGCGGGGGGAGAGAGAGACCCAAAAGCAGAAGCCCCGGTGGTGCCAAACCCCTGAGGGAGAATACCAGGAGACGGCCCCCCTTCTGGATGCACAGAGCCACGTTTCCAATTTTTGCAGACCCCTTCTCCTTGATGTGCAAGATGCCCCTCCTGTACTTCAAATGGAGCTCATTGACCTGCAGTGCAACCCTGAACTCAAAGCAAAGTTCAGGGAAGTGAGTGGAAAAGCAGACAAGCTTGGGCAATTTTTGAGAGAATTGATCTCCAGCTTCCCTGAGCTTTCCCGAATGTTCAAGCGGACCATGTGCCTTTTTGGGAGTGCATACTCGTGCAAAAAGCTCTTCTCCACCTTGAACTTCAATAAGTCCAAGTACAAGTCCAGATTTACTGATGACCATCTTCAAGCCATACTGAGGGTCTCAACTGCTTCCTCCCTCAAGCCAAATGTGGCTTGGCTATGCAAGAGGAAGTGCTGCCAGGAGTAGGCAAGTGAAGCCGTGTTCAGAAGAATAGTTCATGTTCTTCAATGTTCCATTCATGTTCAGGACAATTTTTTAACAAAGGTTTCAAAGTTAAAGAACTTTTAATGCAGACGTTTGAATCTGAATACAGCAGATATAGAAGTTCTTCAATGTTCCATTCATGTTCAAGACAATTCATGTTTAGAAGATTAAAGTTTAAAGAACTGTTAATGCAGACATTTGAATCTGAATACAGCAAATATAAAACACTGAAGATACCACATATAGTCGCTCACTAGAGAATTATTATTACTGTTGTTGTTGTTATTTTATTTATTCCTGATTGATTATTTTCTTACTAATTCTTAATTTATTTATTTATGTACATATTATTTTGTGTTAAAAATAAAAAGATTTGAGAAGATTGGAATTTTTTAACAAAGGTTTTCTTGTGGAAAATCTGGTGCAGCCCAGCCTCACCCAGCCTCTGCCTCCAGTGGCCCCCAGGTAAATTGAGTTTGAGACACCTGCTCTAGATTGTTAAGTGGCTTAAGAAAGCACAGAGGAGAATACAGGAGTGGGTTGTTACTCTCCTTCCCTTTAAAAGAAAAGATCAACCTAGATCATGCCAAACAGTCACTTGAGGCGCAGTGTGGTTAATTTTTGCATGTGTATGCAAGGATCACCCCAAATGACATACGTATCTCAAAGTGACTTTGTTTAGCATGATCTCTAGACCAGTCCAGGCCATAACTGGGCCACCCAGTTACACCCATGATGTAGTTAATTTATATTAGAATATAATCTAGTTTCATTTTCCAATTTTCACATTTTATTTTAACAACACAAAAAGCATGAATAGCCTAATTCTCTTTATACATACATAGACATTAAACTTTCAAGCCTAATTCATATAGTTCAATAGTATAGGCATCACTTTGCAAGAAAGTTCAATGAACTTGTTAACATTACAGACGAAGATACCAAAGTGAGTGCTTGGGAGGCCATATCTAAAAATTACTGATTCTTTTTTCTTTTTTTAAACCACAGGTGGGGATAATAAAAGGCAGCTGATTTCCTGGCCCTTGACAATCTAGTTAAGCATCTGACTGAGAATGTTGGCACCAGCGTTGGAGGAATCACTGAGCCTCAACTCAAGGTATGGACATTTCACAAAGGTGCTGAATTTAAGATGTAGTTTACAATTTTTGTCTTAAATAACATATGGTCCACATACCAAGTAAAGCGGAGTCAGAAATAATATTTTTGGTTGGGAACGGCATCATCAAAACAATAAGAAAATAAAAAATCGTAACAATGCACATAGATTTCCCCCCATAAAATTGGGTACATCACCTTCTATAGAATGATTATTATGACTGAGTGTGAATTCAAGCACTCCATTTCAGAGCACCTTGATTCAAAATAGTAGTACCAGTTGGTAACTGTAGTGTCTGGATTAGGTAGTAACTGTGTGATTAAGCTGCAAAGAACATAAATTACAGCGATAACACCTGGAAAATAGTAATGTAAGTATCAAAAGGCTATTTGTTACGTATTAAAAACTAGCAAATGTTCAGAGACAAAAGCTATGTCACTGTCAAGAAAAATACTATAGTAGAATGAATAATTTACAAAAATATACTGGAATCATTTCAAAGTTTGCTTGACTCAGAAAAAATATTTATGCTGATAATAATTTTAAGTCAAGGTTCTAATTAAATCATAGAAAAATAGTGAGACGAATAAGATAAGGCAGATTTTATCTGGCAATGTCAGTTATCTGACAATGTAAATCCCCCCCTTCTCACAGTCTTCTGTGGGAAATTAGAAACTGCCTTTTTTTTTTCTCCTCACCTGTGAGGCAGCAAGAGGTTTTCTGGTGCAGTTGATGACAATTCTTCTGTTTGCAGGACCAACAATATAAACTAATATAGTTGCTGCCTTGTTGCATCACATATTTAAATTTAAATCAAAATTGCTTCATTTTGATCAGTCAGTCCTTCTGTCCTTGTATGTATATGTGTGCACAGCTTAACAGACAGAAAATGCAATGGTTTTGCACAAAGATATTTTTTTGCAAATTACATTTGCCAAAAAAAAAAGCATACCCTTTCTCACATACATATCTATACTGCTAGCAGTTTCTCAACAAACTTTCTTAGCACATCAAGAGAGCCTGTATCATTGACAGTGAGTAATGTTGTGGGTATTTTTCTCATTCCAAACCTAAAGATGAAATTGGAGGAATCTGTTTGACTTTTCAGCTCTTTAAGTCAGATCCTTTCTCAACCTTCAGTGTTTCAAGGATTGGCTTTAATCTTAACTGAAAAGTATAAGGAGACACGGTTTGATGGAGACATCCAAAAAAGATCTTTTTAGAGCAGTAAAAAGACTGGGATCAGTGGTAGAAAGAGTGACATAATGCTGAGTTTTGTTTGCTCTAGAACTGGGATTTTTTAAAAAAAGAATGAGGAGACCAGGAGGAGAAAGGAAGGGAGACTAAACAGGAGGGGTGGAGAACTGAAAAATTGCAACAATGTAAATCAAACTTTTATTTTCATGTTTTACTTTGTTATCTGGAGTGAATATATATCCTAGTTTTAAATGCATAAATCAATGCTGAGTGCATCCATCAATCCAGAAAACAACCACATTTTTTTTTAAAATGGGGTATCATCTCCTTGAGAAATAATGTGTTTTAGGTTCACCAAACTATCATAACTAACATTTTGAAGTTTCAGCTAAATATCTTTGCTAACTGCCCTAATTACTTGTGTCAAATTATAAATTCAAAGAAATGTTTAAAATAGCCCATTTCCTAGCATTTCATGTGCCACTCACCTAGAATACTAGGATTTTAAGAACCTGTGTAATGTTCTCTATTTAGCAAACTGTGTCTTCCAATTTAAAGCAACTGCACGAGTGGGAAGGCAGAGTGTTGTACGGTTCTTAGGGAATTGACATATGACTCTATCAGATGCTGTGGTCCAAGCAATGCTCTTTAATTATTAGTTGTACTACATTAGTTGCCTGTCTTTTCCCAGCCCATGTAGTCCCACCTGCATCCCATGAGGTCCTTGGAGATGGGCCCAGGAGTGGTTTTTTTCACTGTCTCTAGCCTACTGTCATCTCTGTTGTCATTCACCCCTCCCAATGTGTCCCACATTCTCCACTGTAGGCTGTTGGCACATGAACAATTTTTAGTCCTTCTTGTGATGAAGTTATCAAGCCTGTTGCTTGTAATGCCATTGTGTCTTTTCCATTGAGCTATGGCAGTTTTCTGATCTTAGTTTCAGCGTAGCTTATGACTAAGATCATGGCCACTGGTCCCATCGCCTCCTGGCAAATAGAAGGGGAAGATATGGAGGCATTCAATTTTCTGTAACTCTCTTTATCTCCCTTGCATTTTGTTTTCCTTCTCTTCTCTGCTATTTGTAAGGCCTTGTTGGACAGCCACTTTGCTTTCTTGCATTTCTTTTTCTTTGGGATGGATTTTTGTTGCTGCCTCCTGTACAATGTTACGAGCCTCTATCCAAAGTTCTTCAGGCACTCTGTTCACCAAATTTAGTTCCTTAAATCTGTTCTGTTCTTCACTTCCACTGTGTATTCATAAGGGATTTGGTTTAGATTATACCCGAGTAGCCCAGTGGTTTTTCCTATTCTCTTCAGTTTAAGCTTGAATTTTGCTATGAGAAGCTGATGATCAGAGCCACAATCAGCTCCAGGTCTTGTTTTTGCTGACTGTATAGAGCTTCTCCATCTCTGGCTGCAGAGAATATAATCAATCTGATTTTGGTATTGCCCATCTGGTGATTTCCATGTGTAGAGTCACCTCTTGTGTTGTTGGGAAAGGGTGTTTGTGATGACCAGCTTGTTCTCTTGACAAACTCTATTAGCCTTTGCCTTGCTTCATTTTGAACTCCAAGGCCAAACTTACCTGTTGTTCCTTTTATCTCTTGACCCCCTACTTTAGCATTCCAATCCCCTAGAATGAAAAGAACATATTTCTTTGGTGTCAGTTCTAGAAGGTGTTGTAAGTGTTCATAGAATTGGTCAATTCCAGCTTCTTCAGCATCGGTGGTTGGTGCATAAACTTGGATTACTGTGATGTTGAAAGGTCTGCCTTGGATTCGAACTGAAATCATTCTATCATTTTTGAGATTGTATCCCAGTAGAGCTTTTCCCACTCTTTTGTTGACTATCAGGGCTACTCCGTTCCTTCTATGGGTTCTTGCCCACAATAGTAGATATGGTAATCATATGAATTGAATTTGCCCATTCCTGTCCATTTTAGTTCACTGACACCCAGGATGTCAATGTTTATTCTTGCCATCTCCTGTTTGACTACATCCAGCTAACCAAGGTTCATAGATCTTACATTCCAGGTTCCTATGCAGTATTTTTCTTTGCAGCATCGGACCTTCCTTTCACTTCCAGGCATGTCCACAGCTGAGCGTCCTTTCGGCTTTGGCCCAACCACTTCATTAGCTTTGGAGCTACTTGTAGTTGACCTCTGCTCTTCCTCAGTAGCATGTTGGACGCCTTCCAACCTGAGAGTCCCATCTTCCAGCGTCATATCTTTTAGTCTTTTGTTTCTGTTCATGGGGTATTCTTGGCCAAGATACTGGAGTGGCATTGCCAATTCCTACTCCAGGTGAATTGTGTTTAGTTGGAACTCTGCACTATGACCTGTCCATCTTGAGTGTCCCTGCATGGCATTGCCCATAGCTTCTCTGAATTACTCAAGCCCCTTTGCCTATACTTAGCCCTATTTAAAATATATATTCTAATACTACTTCCATGATAATTTTATATATATTTGAGACATGCTTTCTGTTATTTATGGACAATAAGTTTAGAGCATCTAATTAAATTGAGTTTTGAGATTGTATATTAATGAACACTTTGCTAGATGAATAATCTACCTGTACCTTGGAGCTTTCCAGTAAACTTGGCAAACAAATCTTCAGTAGTGGTAAAATGCAATTCAGTTTTAGGCCAGTGTCATCAATCACTTTGTCAAGTGGTGCTGTGTTTACAGACATCTAATGGAAAGGCAGAATCTTCTACCTTCTTTCTAGTTGTTCAGCCAGTTGCAATATCTCCTCTATATATCCCCTGGATTGCAGAAATATCATCCCATATCACTGTGGGTCATATTTTTGGAGTGGAAACTAGAAGCACTATCATATGGTTGCTTCATCTTTTTGGAGTGTTGAGTTCAAACACTGCTGTTGGCATATATCTTGTGTGTTGCTGTTGGCCTCTGAGGTCCTTCAGTGTTCTTCCTCATCCTCATGTAACATGTGCCAGCGCTACAACATACAAATGACTACTTACAGAACTACAAAAAATGACAGAAGTCCACTAAGCACACTGCTTCCCCCTGCTAATGTTATGGTGGATCAGGCCCTTTGCTCACTTGTAGTTGTTTCATTAGCTCCATTTGCAGGTTGTAATGAACCTGCCCATTACATTGCATCATAGGATTTCTTCCTAGTTGTGGCTAATGGACAGGGATGGGAATTCTTATCTGTTCATGCAAGAACAATAACAGTAAAATTATTCTCCTCACTCTGCAAGAGAGTGAGGTGTTTTGTGCCACTCTTGGTAAGGGGAGAGAATGAGAATGGTACTTTCCCACTAATTAAGTAAAACTACCCAAACAATGATTTCAGGCAAATAACATTTCACAATAAATAATGCAAATGGTGCAGAATTACAATGGCTGATGTTCTGAAGCATGGAGTTCTAAAGTTTAGAATTGTCATATATGTTTTTTTTTCTGGGTTTTTAAATAATTAATACTTCTTTGCCAGCCATGTACACACAGGCACTCTGTTTCTTGAAATGAAAGAGGGGTGCATTCGTATTCTTATACGTATACGAATACTCCGCACAGGTGGACATAACGAGAATCCAGCCTCCTTGGGCCAGACCGTCCACTCACCTTCCACTGTGATCCAGCCTCCTTGGGCCAGACCGTCTACTCACCTTCCACTGTTGCCGCAAGCTCTGCTCTCCCTTCCTATCGCTCTGGAGCTCACATTCTGTGAGCCACTCTTCGACCTTTCAGTGAGGTTTGCCCTGCTGCCTCTTGTCATGAGCTCTCCCTTCCTATCGCTCTGGAGCTCGCATTCTGTGAGCCACTCTTCG